CTTGCCATGTGATCTGACCTGTAGAGCACCAGATACTGACCATCTATAGCGAACTTGTGCTTCAATTAAACATTTAGTAATTGGCTTGAGAGCTCGTCGTATTTGAAGCACTTCCGAGGGCAGGTCAGGGAAGACAAGAATGTTGTGTTCTCCAAATTTGAGGAAGCGTTTATCCCTTGCCACTTTGAGTACTGCTGATTTTTTGCTTACATCCAGAAACTCGACTAAAATGTCCCTGGGACCTTTGTCTTTGCCAGCCGTTTCTACGCCCAAGCGATAGGCTTTCGTTAAAATTGGAACAGAGTCTGAGGTTGTAAAAGCCATTTCAGAAAGCCAGTTTGTAATGAAAGTTAAAAGATCTTCCGTTTTTTCCGATTTCTCTGGAAAACCCCTAAATTTGAGGCATTTTTCCTTTGCCTTATGTTCCAGGGTAAGCACCTTCTCCTTTAACCATTTTTCATTAGATTGTAACAATAGTATGTCTTCGTGGTTAGCTAGAGATGTATCAAGTGCTGTCTCAGCTGTCTGTGTGGTGTTGTTTATGGAAATTTGAAGCGTCTCTAGCTTATCATTCATCTGCTTCATAAGATCGTTCATATGGCCCATTATTTCCTCCTTAAAGGAAGCAAATATGTCCCTCAGCTCTGTTCTTGTGAAGGGTTCCCTATCCGCCCCATCGTTGCTCACCGCGGCAGTCATTTTGTTTTCCCTCAGACTGTGACAGTTGGGCAGGCCAGAGGGATGAACTGTTTCGGTTTTCCATGTATTAAGTCTTTTCGGGCTAATTTTACTTGCATTTGGATCTCCCTGAGGTTTTCCCATCACTTAGCTTCTGGTAGATTCGTCTTTGCGGGCAAGCGTTTATGCGGGGAGGGAAGGGATCGCTGGAGCTCAGTTACTCAGCGTCCGCCATTGAACAAGCCGACGCCCCGCCCCCTGGATTATCTACTTCATACCTCCCCCCACCCAAATCTTGTTCCTCTCTCAGGTGCTGCTGCACTCGGATCATCTGGCTGTTCTACTGCAGGCCAAGAGGGTGACCCTCTGAAACTCCCTACCTGCGAAGTGGAGCAAAGGGACCTTTTCTTAGGCTCTCCAAGGTCTTGCTGGCTGGCTTCAAGTGATTCCTTGCTTGCCCTTTTTCTCCAAATGCCAAGAAAAGGCTTCTGGCCACACTCCAACAATCAGGTCTAACAGTTTTCATACAGCCAACACTACATCTCAGTCTCAACCACCAATAAACATAAAAGAACACAACTGAGGCGACTGAGCAGAGGAAAGAGAAGAATCACAGCCCCTTCTGTTTTTCAAGGAATGAAGTGCCATAGACACCAAGCTGAGCGGAAGCACCCATGCGCTTTCCAGTAGGCACTGACAGAGCCATGACAAAAGCAGTTTGCAATACTATGGCTGCCCTAGGTCACAGCTGTCTGTTGCCCACTTAAATGCCCCACAAGCTCAGACATGGAACAAAAAAAAAATGTCTCCGATCTTGGCAACCAAAGCCGTTCTTAGACGGCAGAGGCCATCGGCAACAGGGTGAAAGGAGAAGAACCCTGAAAGAGCAGCTTGGGTGCACTGCTCTCAAAAGTTACAGATGGCTCCCCAAACAAAGCCAAGTCTTTAGGATTAAACCCCCCTTGTAAAGAGAACAACAGAGAACTTTGCTCTGCCACTCTGAGGCGGCACCTTCACCGGCAAGGAAGCTTACTCCCAAACATCACCAGGGTTGGGTGGATGTGGATTAAGGCCAGGAAGACCACACCAGTGGGCAAGCAGCCCCTTCGAGCTTTTGCACCGGGCCAGAGACAGAGAAAAGTTGAGCATTCCTCCACATGGGGAGGCAGTGGCAGCTACAACCCATCCCCTCCAGCCAAGGCACCGTCCAGGCCCTCAAACACCAAGAGAGGGGGGAATTGAGGAAAGGTGGGTGCCCAAGAGGTCAGCTCCAGGAACCGCACCAGACAAGCTGGCCTGCCTGAAGCCCCCTCCCAATCCAAGAAGGCCCCCCCAGCCTCGACGGCATGCCCTCCCAAGCTCCTACCTCTTCCTCGAGGCTTCCTTGCCCGGTGGCCTGGGACCTGAAACGAGGGAGGGGCAGGGAGGGGAAGGGCGGGCTTGGAAGCCAACCGGAACACCGTTCTGGTGCGTTCTGCCCCCAAAATAGCCCTGACTTATGGTGTTTTTACATTTTTATATTATAAGCCGCCCTGGGCGGGTTCCCTGGACAGGTGGCATAGACATTTTCTAAATAAAGTACATGGCAAGGGACACTGGGAGTGGATGGCCTTATGTGTGGAGATGGCAGCAAGGCTGCCAGCCATGCCATGCACTGCCTCCAACAGCCCCTCAGTAGCCTCATGTGCTCCCAGCACTGCCAAATTAGTATACAAAAGGGGGCGGATGAACTGTACAAAAAGGGTGCTGCTGCTTGCCTTACAAAGGAAGCCAGCTTCACTTGTTGGCTGCAGAGAACAGATTTTATTCTGCAAGATTATCATGAAAGTGACTCAGCAAAACTCAGGTGGGTAGCCATGTTGGTCTGAAAGCAACAGAACAAAGTTTGAGTCCAGTGGCACCTTTAAGATCAACAAAGTTTAATAATACCCAGAATTAAACTTTGTTGGTCTTAAAGGTGCCACTGGACTCAAACTTTTTTCAGTTCAAGACTGCGTGGTTTTGAGCATTACAAAAACTATATACATTATAACCATTTGACTGTACCATCTGCATATGTCACAAAATGGATGTACAAATCCATACTAAAGTTCCAAAAGAAATAATAGTTATTTTAACGTATCAGTACTGCTGCTTTCTCTAAAGTACAACTACATGGATCTGAACATCTTCCACATACTGTCCCACATACAAAATTACACATATTAAAAATTACTATGAAAGGTGCTAATACCCTTTAAGTATCCTGTATGAAAATGCCCCCCTCCCCCAAAGATAAAGACAAAAAGAAAAGGCTGACCTTTTACAGATGTCTTGAGATGGTGTTGCTATTTCTCTCATTTCAGAACAGGCTTGTTTCACCTTATCTTTGTAAGCTAATGGAAGGCCCTCATCTTCAAAGCCTGATTGGACAGTTAGTTTTGCTGGAAAGCATTCATCACTTCTTGGAACATCACTCAGGGTAGTTTGTCCTTCAAAACTCAGCCTCTTGCCTGAATTAACCAAGAGTCACTACTTTGCTAAAAAAAATCTTACAAGGCAAAAACACAGCAAGACATCTTTGAAATGTTACAAGAATTTTTTATCATATCTTTCTTCACTTTTTTAATAACTGTCCTTGCTAACCATCATCATCTAAAAAAAGATATCAAAGAACTGATGCGGGTTAGCCTTCTTTGTAGCAAGCATCATTCCAATAAAACATGGACTTTCAAAAAACCCAAGCTTTACAAAAATTAAGTACATATTCAGAGGTGTCAAACATAAGGCCAGGGGGCTGGAACTGGCCCATCGAGGGTTCTTATGAGGCCCGCAAGCAACTAGTGCAAAGGAGGGAGCACTGACTTCAGCACAGCAGAACAACCTCATCTGCAGCAGTCAAGCATCATGGGAGCATCTGCCCAGCGTGGCACTGCTGCCTCTCCAGTCTGCCTCTGTGGGTTTTCCTCTGCACCCCCCTCCCAGCCCATGGGGCCTTGGAGTGAGGATGCACCAACTCAGAGCTTACCAGCTGTTGTCCTTTATACAGTTTCTATCTCCGGTACCAGGCATTATGTTTTATGGCACACATGGCCCGGTCTGACAAAGTGACATTTATGTCAGATCCAGACTTCATAACAAATGAGCTTGGCACCAATGTATTAAGGGCTTCAATCTTTACACTTATATAAAAACTTTTCTTTCTACACTCTGCACAAGAACATTTTGTATCCTGTAGCATTAGTAATGATGTGTTCCGACAAGACCATGGCTGCACAAAACAATTTTTATTTTACAAGACCATTGTGAAAATGACTCATATTAAGACTGTGTGATTCTGAACACTAGAAATGCTATATTTGTCATTAAAAAGTTTAATCAACCACTGTTTGATTGTACTATTGGTATATGTTATTGAACTGATGCACAAATTTATATTAACATTATAACATAAATAACAGTTGTTTTGGTGGATCAGTGCTGCTACACACAGCCCCCTCCCATGAGGCTATGTGAAAGAGGCACCAGCATGGTGGTGTTCCAAGTCTCCCTCTTGGAACTTCTCACCAAATCCCAAAATGTGGGAGGGAGGGACACAACTGTCACCTGAAAGTTGACATTATTCCCATCAGAGAGGCAATTTTTCCATTATATTCTTCATTGTGACAAGGGTGTATGTGTGATCAGAACACTGCCTCTTAACCCAGTGAACAGCCAAGGGTAAGCACTGTCCGCCTGCCCAGGACAGGAACAGTCTCAGTTGCATCCCAGGGGCTTGGGAAATATTGGAACATGGACTTTCAGCCTAAAGAATAGCTGAATGGAAATGTTCCAACCCCCCTGACCTGCAATAGTTATGGACCATAACAGAACCTGGTCATGAGGGCAGATCCAGGCACCATCATGGGGGCAGCCCACTTTGCTCAAGATCAATTATGACCTACATATCTGTTTGAGTTGTGCACCTCTGGACTAGTTACTGGATACAAGAAAGGAAAAAATAGGTTTTTTAAAAACCTAAAGTAGTAGTACTAAGGCAAAGCCCTCTACAGTGGAAGTCTGCCTTTATTCTGGACCTATTTACTGGTATTTCCACATGACCAGGAAGTCATTCCCCTTCAGCCTTCTCAAGAAGGATATAGTGTTCCTTCTGTACACTATTCCTACATACTATATCCACACATGTATGCTTTCAGGCTTAATGTTCAACTGGCAATTTTTCTGCAACTTTCCTCAAGAGAATCCACTTTTCATACATTTACTGAATCCTTCCTCCCACCAAGCCCATGTAAGAAGCCCCCATTCTAAAATTTGGTGCACCCTTGATTGCTTTGTCTTCAAAGTTATGGTATGACCTACAAGTTATTGTAACATTAAATACAGACTAAGATGCTTCAGATAGGCCAGTGGTTCCCGAATGGGGTTGTGGGATTACCTGGGGGTGCCAAGAGGCAAGGGGTGGCAGGGGTGCACTGGAGGTGTTGAGCAATTCTTCAAAAACAAGAAAATTCCACTTACTAAGATACTTGCTTGTGCAACTGATGGAACATCATCAATGACTGGTTGCTACTGAGGGTGTGTTGCTTATTTGAAGACAATTATTTAAGAACCAAAAAGGTTAAAGGTAAAGGTTCCCTTGCTCGAAAGCCAGTCAAATCCGACTCTAGGGTTGCGGTGCTCATCTCCGTTTCAAAGCCGAAGAGCCAGCACTGTCCAAAGACATTTCCATGGTCATGTGGCCAGCATGACTAAACACCAAGGCGCACGGAACGCTGTTACCTTCCCACCAAAGTGGTACCTATTTATCTACTTGCAATTTCTTGCTTTCAAACTGCTAGGTTGGCAGGAGCTGGAACTAGAGACGGGAGTTCACTCCATCTTGCGGCACCCGGGTCTCGAACTGCTGAACTACTGACCTTCCACAGCCTGCAGTGCAGCGTCTTAACCACTTGAGCCACCGCAGCTCCATACCAAAAAGGTTAACTGAATACAAATTAAGGGGCCCAATATTAATTTCAATAAGTATAAAACATTAACTTTTTCATTACCTCCAAGGTAGCCTTCTCAGAAGTGCTACCTGTTCCACGCGCAAAAAGGGAATATGAGGAGCATATAGCAAAAAACGTAAAAACCAACAATAAAACTTTCTTCAAATACATTAGAAGCAGGAAACCAGCCAGGGAGTTCCTCATCAAAGGCTCCTAAGTAAGCTCAAAAATCATGGGATAAAAGGACAAGTCCTTTTATGGATCAAAAACTGGCTAATTAATAGAAAACAGAGAGTGAGTATAAATGGGCAGTTCTCTCAGTGGAGGGGGGTAAGCAGTGGGGTACCGCAGGGATCAGTACTTGGTCCACTGCTTTTTAACTTGTTCATTAATGATTTCTGCAAATTTAACTTGTTCATTAATGATTTCTGCAAATTTAACTTGTTCATTAATGATTTCTGCAAATTTAACTTGTTCATTAATGATTTCTGCAAATTTAACTTGTTCATTAATGATTTCTGCAAATTTAGCCACTTCACTGCTTAAGCAGTGAAGTGGCTAAATTTGCAGATGATATGAAGTTGTTCAGGGTGGGCGTCAACATGGCAAATGGGGTTCAATGTGGCCAAGTGCAAGGTGATGCACATTGGAGCCAAAAATCCTAAATATAAATACACGTTGATGGGGTCTGAACTGGCAGAGACTGATCAAGAGAGAGATCTTGGAGTTGTAGTAGATAACTCACTGAAAATGTCGAGACAGTGTGTGACTGCAATAAAGAAGGCCAATGCTATGCTGGGGATTATTAGGAAGGGTATTGAAAACAGATCAGCCAATATCATAATGCCCCTATATAAATCAATGGTGAGACCTCATTTGGAATACTGTGTGCAATTCTGGTCACCACACCTTAAAAAGGATATTATAGCTTTGGAAAAAGTGCAGAAAAGGGCAACTCGAATGATAAAAGGGTTGGAACACTTTCCCTATGAGGAAAGGTTAAGGCGCTTAGGGCTCTTTAGCTTGGAGAAACGACGACTGAGGGGTGACATGATTGAGGTTTATAAGATTATGCATGGGAAAGAGCAGGTAGAGAAAGAGGTACTTTTCTCCCTTTCTCACAATACAAGAACTCGTGGGCACTCCATGAAACTGCAGAGCGGTCGGGTTAGAACGGATAAAAGGAAGTACTTCTTCACCCAAAGAGTGATTAACACATGGAATTCACTGCCACAGGAAGTGGTGGCGGCTACAAGCATGGACAGCTTCAAAAGGGAATTAGAGGACTGGATGGGCCTTTGGCCTGATCCAACACTGGCATCTCTTATGTTCTTATGTTCTTAACATCAATATATATATGTAATACAAACTATACAAAATACATATATTTACTACAAATTGGTTTTAAAACAGTTATAGGCCCAAATATAGCCTCAATAAGAATTCAGATCATACAATAATTATTGCAATAATAATATTAGTCATTATAGGACCAAGTTTAAATTATGTTCTGATAAGTATCAGTGACTCAAGGCAAGGATGTTCTATATAGGCCTCATATGATATTGCCTTGTGTCCAAATTAGGTACATGTACTTTTCGTAATTAGGTACCTTTCCATTGTGTACATGTACCTTTCCATTGTGTACATGTACCTTTCCATTGTGTACCTTACCATTTTGGTCCAAAAAAATCAATTTAAAAAGCGATGGGGGGGAGGCTACCCTACCCCAGAAAGAGCAGCCGAAAAAGAAAGAAAGTGAGGGGGAGAAATTGTGGCTTTGATGGGAGAATGTTAACTCAACTGACCGGTGTGCAGACTAGTAGAAATTGTGTACTTTAAAAGACTTTCAGAAGCAGTAAAAAACTTTTACCTTTAATGTAAACAATGTCTCATCGGGGTGAAAAAAATAGCGCCCAGAGTGAAACCTTCTTCAGGAACTGCTAGCTCATCTTCTCTGGCTCCCAGACCGGAAGTAACCACAGATATCTCCAAGATTATTACTGCAGCATTGCGCCCTCTACTGGACCTGATGACTAACCTGAACAATAACTTTGAAGCTCTACAAAAAGAACTGAAAGAAACTAATTCAAGAACAGAGAAGACAACTAAAAAGCTGAAAAAGGTTGATGAGAAGACTAGAGAATGGAGGCAGTGGAAAAAGAGAGGACCTCCGAGAAACAACAGATATTACAACTTCAACTGGAATGGTCAGCATATGTCCTGAGATTTCAAGGTGTTCCAGAACAAAAAGATGAGAACCTGAAAGAGATTTTGAGCGAAGCCCTAGCTTCCGTGGCAGGCTGTAAAGCGGAACTTCTACAAAGCGACTTGGATATGGTATACCAAACCTATCCAGAATTCATCAAGAAAAATAAACTGTCTGGTGAAGTATTTGTGAAATTCTCTAAAAGGTCAAGAAGAGATATGATACTGAAGGTGACTAATGGAGAAGAAGCGAAAGTTTTAAAAGATGTTCCATTTGAGGTGAGAAAGCGGAGGAAACAATACAAAAATATGACTTTATTTCTACAGGAAAATTCCACTACCTACAGATGGATAATCCCGGAAAGATTTATCTTCAACTTTAAAAAGAAAAAAGAAAAGATTGACTCTGTCCTTAAAGCAAAAGTATTTTTGGAACAGCATCAAAGCCCAGCGAAAGAAAAAGAAAAAGGGAAAGTAGAGGACAATATTGTCACAGAAGAACATAGTTCCAGAAGCAGTGATAGCTCTCCAAGTAGCTCCTCTGAGGAAGATTTTGACTCTGAATCAGAATTAGGAGTCGTGGCTCCTAAATCATTTAAGGTCAAGCTGCTCTTTGATAAGAACAAACGTGGAGGGAAAAAATCAGCTAAATAACCCAATCCTGAAAGTCTGTTTATTCTTTTCTTTGTCTGTTTACTGAGATGCACTCACTACAACTTTGTTTGTACTGCTTAAGATAGAAATACTAACTTTTAATGTCCAATTATGTAAAAGCTAAATTATGAGGAAACATTAGATAACCAAATTTTAAAACTTTTTTTGATCCCTGCTTACTCTGTATTTTAGTTTAGTTTATTCCTTTCCCCTGTACCCGGTAGTGTGTAGAGATAAAAAGCAATAAAAAATGTTTTAATAAAGCGATATGGGGCCAGTGTAACATAATAGTATGTTGCTTATGGGGGGGGGTGCCAAATGTCATTCATCATCAACATCTGTGTCATTCATCATCAACATCTGGTTGCAAAAAATCTCAGTGATTGCCTGTACAAATCATTACACACTGTCATTACTGCAGTGAATAAAATTAACACCCATACTCTCAATGATCGCGTATTCCAGGAGTTCTGTGTTGAGAGTGATGAAAATTTTGAACCTTTGCTGCTTCATACTGAAGTTGTTTATCAAAAGGCAACTGTGTAAGATGCTTTTGCAACCTTTTTGACATTGCTGTGGAGTTTTTTTGAAAACATGAATACTTGGCTCAGTGATGAACTCAAAAGATATCAGGCATGATATTGTTTGCAAAGTTCAATGAAATTAATTTGCAGTTGCAAGGAAATGAGGTCACTATTAAGGCCAAATCTTCAAAATGAACTTTAGTCAAACACTATATAGGCCACTGTGAGCTATACCAATTTCTGAGCTAGAAGAGAAAGGTGGGATACAAGATGATGACCTGCAGGTTTTTTGAGACTGTTTGGATATGCTGCATGAAGATATGTCTGAGGATCTTCTTTCAATGGAAATTCCAGATTGAGTAATAAATCCATTTTCAGATACTGAGAAAGCCGGAGTAGGGGAGGAAGAACTAAGTGAGCTACAAAATTACATTGCGCTGAAGCTAAAGTTTAAGAAATCATACGAAGACTTTTTGTTTCTGACTGCAATCCAACACTATGGACTGTGGTTAAGAAGCTCCTTGTTGCTTTTCCAACATCATATTTGGTGGAATGTGACTGCAATTTGGTCATCCAACTTTTTTCCCAGGCAAAGAAATTGACTCCATGGTACTAAACATGGTGATTCAAGGCTTCTGCTAAGTGACTTTAAACCAGTCATTGGGAAATGGGTATCATGTCATCAAGGCCATCAATCACATTAAGAATTTACTGATAAGTGAAGTAGTTACTAAATGTGGTATCTATGATTCTTGCTAAATGGCTATCAGACTTTGAAAAGCTGGTATAACTGGATCAAGCTCATTAATTTTGTTGAATAAATTAAACTAAAATGTTTTAATTGGATTTTGAATGAATGTGCAATTAATTGTTATTGTTTTGAATTTTATTGTTATTATCTTCCTTAGTGGGTTGTGTAATCGCTATTCTGAATAATGCCTTTTAGAGGGTAGCGCAGAGGGCACTAGGGATAAATTTATGGAACCAAAGGGGTGGTGGCCTGAAAAGGTTTGGGAACCACCGAGATAGTCCATTTTCACAATCTAAAAACAAATTTGTTAACAGATAATGTTGGTAAAAAGAATTAAATGGAAGCGAACTTACTCTCAACCGAACTGAATATTTTATCATTGAGAAGATTTCCATGAGAGGCAGTTCTAAACAAACATGTACGGGCATTTCTGACCTTCTCAATCTCCTCTGAATCCACTGGCAGTTTAGGGGGAGGGATGTGATAGTCTTCATTGCTCGTTAAAGATAACAGCAACTTTGGCTTCTGTTAAAATAGAAACAACAAAATACAACATATGAACTGGCTTTACATTATAATACCTGTTAATGCAAAAGCAGACTAAAATCAGGGGAAAGGCCTTCTGCACAGTCATGGTTCCCACCACAAAAGCTATTTACTGAGAATCTTTTCCAACAGCAAATTTTCCAAAACCTTAGAGCCACCACTGGAAAAACCATGTTTTATATCCTAGTTGGTAGTACCTGCCTGATAGATGATACTTGAAACAGGCCCCTTGAGATCTTAGGACACATGTGGGCTCACATGGAGAAAAATCTTTCCTGAGATATGCCAGGCCCATGCCACTGTACTAAAATTCTACAAAATCTAGTTACAAATTTCAAAAAATACTGTATTTTTAAAGAATGCAACTTGTCATTAGGAGAAAAATAGTATGATAGAAATTAAAATAACTGGTGTACACAACATTAATCCAAATAGGAAGAGCGATTTCACAAAATATGTGCAGCGATTCCACAAAATTAGAGAAACAAGCATAGAAAGGGGTAGCAGAATTAAAATTAACTTTACTGAGAATTTCAGTTTGCATTATTCTAAACTAAAGTTTCCAGCCTTTGTGCCTACAAGGATCTGCTTAAAAAAAGAAAAGTCCTTCCTGAAGGAATATCTGAAACTTACACAAAGTCCCTAAATTTTAATATTATATCCAATTTAATGATGAAATAATAATAAACATTTGTGAAGGGCTGCACTTTTTAAAAGCCTAGACGCGCTGTGTAAACAGACAAAAGACTCTGAAGCATTAATTCTCCACAGAGCCAGAGAACCTTGAGTGACAGGCTGTTCCAAGAGATCTGATCGGTTAGCATCAGCTGAGCAAAGACTTCTTGAACTGGGTGCTGAGGAGAATCCAGTCTGACTTCAGCCCTAGCTTAGAAGAGTCAAGTACTGACAATTTTTGAATTCAGCCCTGACTGAGAGCAGTTTAACACAGACAGGAGAACTGGGGGAAAGTTGGCAAGGAGCAGTGGATAGTTAGATGGAAACTCCCGTTCAGACCAAGGAAAGGGGATAGATCTTCTAGAGAAAGAAGAATTTCCCTACCCAGTCAAACAGAAGAAGAGATTGGATTTATACCTCGCCCTTCACTACCCAAAGGCATCTCAGAGTGGTCTACAATCTCCTTTCCCTTCCCCTCCCCACAACAGACACCCTGTGAGGTAGGTGGGGCTGAGAGAGCACTGACAGAAACTGCTCTTTTTCAAGAACAGCTGTGCCAAAACTATGGCTTGCCCAAGGTCATCCAGCAGGTGCAAGTGGAGGAGTGGGGAATCAAACCCAGTTCTCCCAGATTAGAATCTGCGCATTTAACCACTCCACCAAACTGGCTCTCAAACAGGGACTTAGCTCTGAAGAGTGCAGAGATCTATGGTCTGGTGTGGTTAGAAACTGCCTTTAAAGACCTTAGAAGACAGTTTAAAACTCAACATGAGTACTGGTGTTTCAAGAGAAAGGGTTTGGGTACTGGAAAGAGTATACCAGCCTTCTGGAAATCAAAAGAGCCAGAGAATATCAAAGAAAGTCTACTGGAATATTTGGGAAAACACTGGAACAAAAGCCTCTCAACATAAAGTTTTAAGTAACTGTAAATAGCTTAAGAAACTATAATTTATCTATTTCCGCTACTTCCAACAGTTTACTCAATACTTCATCTGATCTGGGTACACAATCTAGTTTCCAATATTTAGCCCAGAGTATTCTTGCTGCCGTTATTACATACGCAATTACATATTTCTCATTAAAAG